CCTCAAATATCTCTGCAGATCAGGATCAGACTGACCTGAGAGTTTCAACATGGCTGCTGTGTAGTTTAAGGATGTGCAACGTCGGCTTTGTTTGGACTGCAAAGATACCGTTAATAAATTATTTCATAAATGATTTACGAATTCCGCTAGCATTGTCAACCATAGCCACCATAGCCACGTGTGTACCAGAGCCAATCACTGCAGAGCCCACCCCCTTGACACACCTTAAGAAACACGCTGATTTAACGTTATACCTGCAGCGGCGCGAGCGGCTTTATACCTGCAGCGGGTTTTGCCGGCTGTTCGGTCCCGTTCTGTGCATCTAAACTGACTGAGACTCAACGAGTCCGGACCGAGGCTGTTCCGGCCCGAGGAGATCCGGATACGCGAGGACAACAAACTGGAATCAGAATCTGTGGATATTTGTCTGTAGCTAGCTGCCACACCTTCAAACACAACCTCATTTGGCCATCCATGAAAAAGCTACTTAACCTCCCACTTTTCTATAGCAATACATACTTCCTACGGGCACTGCACTAGTTTACTTAATTCACTATTTAACTTACTGTAATTTCCGGACTATAAGCCGCTACTTTTTCCACACGCTTTGAACCCTGCAGCTTAAACAATGATGCGGCTAATCTATAGATTTTTATAAACTCTCCTGGGGGGGGGGTGTTGGGGAGGGGAAGGGGGGGGGGGGGGGGGGGGGAAGAAAAAGAGAAGGGGGGGAGGGGTTTTTTTTTTTTTTTTTTTTTTTTTTTTTTTTTTTTTTTTTTTTTTTTTTTTTTTTTTTTTTTTTTTTTTCACCCCCCCCCTCTTATGGAAAACACAAGAAGAAATGCACATGATGCAGCTTTTACGTTAAAGGCAAGTAATCTGGCTGTCAGAGGCGCGCCTCCATCAATGAACGTGGCGGTATTTATTTCATTAAAAATTAAAAAAATCTTACTGTGTACCATCTTTCTGTGTAAATATCTCATGTTACAACGTGGACACCTGCGGCTTATAGACAAGTGCAGCCTATATATGTAAAATTTTTTCTTTTTCTTTTTAAATTTAGTTGGTGCGGCTTATATTCAGGTGCGCTCAATAGTCTGGAAATTACGGTAGAACTACTTCAATCTGCTCACCTTGCTTTTCCCTTCAGTACTGTTTTCTACACACAAACACACACCAGCTTGCCCCGCCTTGCCGCTTCCTGTTTCTATAATATAATATCTATAATATAAGTTTAAATAAAGTCGCACAAAAACAAAAGTTTTTTTTTTTTTTACCTGCAATTCTGTTTTCACAACAGCAGGTGAGCCATGTGTGAAGGAGGCTTGTTGTCAATGAGGTAGTCGATCTTAACCAACATTGTACCGAATGACATCTGCCTTACCTGGTTGTGTTCCCTGCTGTTCACTCTTGATTTACATGGTCAGTGCTTGTAAAATATCCACTGTCTCTGCGCCAGAGAACTTATTTCTCTGCAGAGCATGTGCGACTGTCACTAGACCGTACAGGAGGGGCAGCGTGAGGGGAGATTATCCACTAGTTTATTGATCACAGATACGGTAGAGATACATTTTCAGTTCATTATGAAATGATGCAGTGTTCTGTGGCGGCCCACCACGGTCTAATTTGTCGCGTCACAGTCTGTAATTAATGGCAAAACCTGCTTGTAGGCGTAAATGCTTCAGTACATACGGTCCTGTTGAAAAACTAGTACTGTCATGTTTTCAGAACTTTGGACATGGTAGCAAAGCATCTCTTCATGTGACATCCCATCAACCAAATGCAGCACAATGAATCCATCCGAGGATAGACTGTCCAAAAGTGTATGCTGTTATCCCGATTTTCTTTTTTGCAATTTTATCTGTCAAGATTAAAAAGACACCTAAAAAAAAAAAAAAAAAAAACATGTTCTTCAAGACATTTCAGGTAGGAGCAGGCTTTTGAAGTGTGGCCATTCCAAACAGATATAACACTGAGATGTGGTCCAGTGACACCTTGCATGACCTAGTTCATTTGAAGCATAATGAGGCATTATGCCTGATCACTGTCATCAGCTAAGCTGTGTCTGACCAATTCTGATGGGATCACACCTCTCTTGCACCTTTTCTCTGTGTTTTTATAAGGCACAAATTATATTGTGTCAGTGTTGAAGTTAGACCTCTGTCAAACCTGGCCTTCTCATTGTTTTGCTCTCAAATGTTACAGTATTAGATACAAGGAAGACTGCTGAAGGTGCTGTCCTCTATCCTGCCAACCACCACACATCCCGGTCTTTTCTTACCGCATATTCAGAACTTGAGTAAAAAGGGTGCTGTAAAATTGTTGGTACCCTTCTGTTTAACAAAGAAAAACCCACAATGGTCACTGAAATAACTTGAAACTGACAAAAGTAATTTACTGAAAATTAAATCAGACATTGCTTTTGAATTGTGGTTCATCAGAATCATTTTAAAAAACAAATTAATTAAACTGGCCTGGACAGAAATTATGGTACCCCTAGAAAAGATTGAAAATAATTTGACCATAGGGACAACTAAGGTGTGTCCTGTAATTAGCACCACAGGTGTCTTCAAACTTGTAATCAGTCAGCCTGCCTATTTAAAGGGTGAAACATAGTCTGTGCAGGGTACAATGAAATCTCAAGACTACCAAGGCATTCTGGAGCGAAATGTGCTGCCCAGTGTCAGAAAGCTTGGTCTCATTCGCAGGTCATGGGTCCTCCAACAGGATAATGACCCAAAACACACAGCTAAAAACACCAAAGAATGGCTAAGAGCAAAACATTGGACTATTCTGAAGTGGCCTATGAGCCCTGATCTAAATTCTGTTGAACATCTGTGGAAGGAGCTGAAACATGCAGTCTGGAGAAGGCACCAGCAGTTTGTTGGTTGTTGGCCAAAATACCTGTTGACAGGTGCAGAAGTCTCATTGAGAGAAGAAATCGCTTGATTGCAGTGACTGCTTCGAAAGGTTGTGCATCAAAATATTAAGTTCAGGGTACCATCATTTCTGTCCAGGCCATTCATTAGTTTGTTTTTTAAAATGATTCTGTTGAACCACAATTCAAAAGCAATGTCTGATTTTCATTAGTACATTTTCAGTACATTTTTATTTATTATTACTTTTGTCAGTTTCAAGTTATTTCAGTGACCATTGTGGGTTTTTCTTTCTTTAACGGAAGGGTACCAACAATTTTGTCCACGTGTGTGTATATGTGTTGATTTGGTGCAGATTAGATTGTGTTCTTGAAAGGAAAAATAGGCTTCTCTGTCTCAGATGACTCACTGTCTTGGGGTTATAGAGCCATGTCTGGTAACAGCTGCTGATTATCAGAGTATAATCTTCATCTTGACGCTGGAATGGTCTCTTCAATGTGATACGACACTCATCTCCTTTTGCACCCCCCTCACTCTCTTTACATCCTCCTATCTGTCAGAGGGCTGGCTTAAATTTCTCACACTGGTCTTTCCCATCCGTCCCACATTTGTGGTGCCTTTTATTGTACAGACCTGGAGATATCATGTCATCTGTGCTGAGGCATGTGCAGCCTCTGTGTGTAGACAGATATCAGCCTTTTATTAAAGATAGGATATCTACCAGTGAGTGCTGTCCACATCACATATTAATGACACAATGGACTGTGTGTAGGCCTACTAATATCATATTTGACTATGTGTAAAGTATTGCATTTTATTACAGTGATTATGTATGGTGAACTCCCTATGTGAATTGAATGTAGTATAACATTTAGATTCCATACATTAGTAGTGTTTGCTGGAGCAAAAAAAATATGCTGCTTTGTTGTTTTTATATAAAATGTATATAAAATTACTGAAATCACACATGCTCCACCACATAGGACTTCCTCCTTTTACTATTGTTTAAAAATATTGAGTTAGTCTGATAAAAGTCATCAAAGTTTGCTACCCAGCCTTACCACCCATTATTCTCTGTGCTTGCTGCGCTCTGTGATTAGGGTACTCCCAAGGTCTGGTTCCTGCCTCAGACAATGTGTCGCACATGGTCCAAAAGAAGAACTCAAAAGGCATCACTGAAAAGAATTCTCAATGTAACAGTGACAGTACAGAATTAATAACAGCAGCATACATTTTGAGTTGGTGTTCTGCAAACTCCAGCTTCAAGCTTCAGCAATTCTTTTGCAGAAATATTATCATATTTTACTCATCAGGTCGTATAAGAATCTGTGCCATATTGGGCCGTGTTTTGGTGCCCAACCCTAAAAATAGAGTGATCAAGAAAGAACACCCCTTTTTTTCACCAGGGCTGTGTCACTGGCAATAGAATTATATTATTTAAAGTGATAGTTATAGTACTACTTCAAAGCATTATTCTTATTCTTCACATCATTCTCAGAAATAGCCACTACATTCAAAAGAGGCAGTTTATTTTGTGATGACTGTATTGTTGGGTATTGTATTAATGACTAACTGCTGGTAAGTTACATCTGACATTTGAAGCTGAAGATATCAGATGATAAATGATCCTGCTGACAGCTGTGTCTCACTTTGGCTGCTAAGCTAATGTTATAGTTTCACTCTGAGACCGACAGAACAAGCTGCTGCTGCTCAGCTCTGAATGGTCCACAGATCCCAATTAAGGCGATTAAATCATCAATGTGACTGATGAATTTAAAGTACAACTGAAAGATTCTGAGTGTTGTTTACTGTACAGTAGTGCTAGCTGTCAGTCAGTACTTCAGTGCTGTCTGCCTAAAGAATACATGGCTATGTGACCTGCAGAGTCAGCAAACTGTAGATGAGAAGGCTGCTAACACTGATTCTTTCATTGATTTTATGGGGCACAGGGAGGTTGTAAAATTGAGACATTGTATGTTTTAAGGGAGTCATTGTCACACACAAATATAGACTTGCAGGTAATCTTCCCAGTGTTAAATGCATTTTTTGTTTTTAATTGCTTTTACTTGTTTCTTCAATGTAAAATCATTTTATAAATGAATCTGGCTCTGTGTTGTTTTACAGGTATGGTGTAACCCCTGAGAACATCATCCTGTACGGTCAGAGCATTGGCACCGTGCCCACCATCGACCTGGCTGCTCGCTATGAATGCGCCGCTGTCATCCTACACTCACCACTCATGTCAGGGCTACGAGTGGCCTTCCCTGATACACGGAAGACCTACTGCTTTGATGCCTTCCCCAGGTGAGTCTCACAAACACATCATCATTACATGCACACCACAGCAATAGTTACCTAGGCAACTAGCAACCGTATTTTAAAATCCAGTTGCCACTGTTGGCAGCCAGGCCAAAATGCCACATCCCTATCTAAGTATGCAGTTTTCCTGGCTAGCAGTGTTTTAGTCTTTGGTCTCCTTTTGAAAAAAGATATTAGTTTTAGTCAAATTTCAGTTTTTTGTTTGTAAAAAATGTAATCTAGTTTTTGTCAATTATTTTTTAGTCAAAGTTTTGTTATTCATTTTAAATATATCTGTCTTATTCTAATTATTTTGAGACTATTGTTGTTGCCATGTCTGTAGTCTACAGTTACCATGGTTACAGGTGTTCTTGTCTAATGTAAGGTTAGTGGGGAAGGCACTGTTAACTTTTTCTCTCACACAGTGTCCATGTCACTCTGCAGTAATACAGCAGACTAAATCTCCTCAGTAAAGTTGTCATTTCCAAACTCTGGAACTGTGGTGTTCCTTACCTCAACACCACAGTTCCCTGTTCTCTCATCTGCAGAGCAGCTAATCATTCACGCTGGATTCACTAACTTAATCACAAAAATACTGTGAGAAAACAACATAGGTGCTTCTTATTAGTGGTATGAGAAGCATCTTATATGTTTTGCACAGCGGAGGACACTGTTTTCCTGATTAGGAGCATGGCCAGATTATGTGATTCTGTTGATGTATGCCCATCATTGAATGAGACTTTGTGTTAATGAATGTATGCCCATCATTGAATGAGACTTTGTGTTAATGAATTAATTTGTCCATTCATCCGTCTTTCCCATTATCATTTAATTTGTATGCGTTGACAAAAAATGTAATGCATTTTTTCAGAGTTCTTTCTTCCAACGGTTACTTTTAATTTAGATGTCATTTTCATTGTGGGGAAAAGGGTTGTCAAAGATTATTTTGCCTGACAAAATGAAACCTGCTGTCTCAGGACGGGCATAGTCCTGATGTCACCTGCAAGCTAACCGCTATTGCTTAGTGTTGTAAATCAACTGTCTGTCAATGAGCATTTTCTTTTATTGGCCTTTATGAGTTGCTTGGGTTTAATATCTATTACATAGCTTATTATTGTAAGTTAAATAATGATTAATTTCTTAGCTCCTTGTAACCTGGTTTCTAGCATAGCCATAATTTCCACTAACACACTCTTCTCATGTCATCTCTGCGTTTTTTTAGCTGTAATCTCTGCTGTATAAAAACTCTTGTTGGTCTCTCTGCCCTGTTGTTGTTACAACCATTTCATGGCTGCTCTACTCGTCTATGGAGTGGTCTATTCTGTCGAGATGGTGGTGTTTTCATCCACAATTTCTTTTTTTTTATTATCACAATTCTATTCTTCTTCCATTTTCTGCCACTTATCTGTGGTAGCAGACAAAGCAAGTCCCTCCTTAGGGATCTAAAGGCATCCCCAGTCTGATGGAATATGTAATTCCTTCAGTGTGTTTCTGCGCCTTTTCCTCGACGTCTCCTCCCAGTTGGACATGCCTTGAATATCTCCACAGGGTTGCATCCAGGAAGTACCCTTGTCATACACCTGAACCACCACAACTGACTTGAAGGAGCAGCGGTTCTCCTCCGAGCTCTCTCCGGATGTCTGAGCACCTCACCCAGTCTCTAAGGGGGAACCCAGACTCCCTGCCAAGGAAACTCCTTTTGGCCACTCGTCTATGTCCTCAGTCTTCAGATCCCTATGGGTTGCAGTGTACTGCACATGTACCAGTAAATTGAGAGCTTCAAGTCTCTTGTAGCTGACAAATCGACATCATCATTATTGCACCTGTGCCAGACCTAGAAATTACATTAATTTGGAATCAGCTAATTATTTTTGGGGGAAACATAATGCTGACTGAATTATGTGTTCTGTTAACATAATAAGGAAATTTCACAAAAATGTTGATAGTTAACATATCATGAAAATGTATCAGTGTATCACTGACAAGTGTTTTCCACCACTTGTAGTGACTTAAAAGTCAACACTTAGGCAAAAGACTTTTTTTTATTAACATTTAACCAAAATCCCAATCTTTCCCTAACCTTAACCAAAGTGTTTTTTGTTGCAGGAGTCTAGATGCAAACCCTGGACAGTGGCTTGTAAAAAATGTTTTATTGCAAAACGCATGAAAATCTAAATGACTGGTCTCAATTATTTTTTTTTCTTTGGCAAGTGACCATTGTATAAGCGGGATAAGGACTTCTGAGGTGTCCATAATCAGGAATTAATGGACGTCCCTACATCGCCCATTAATTTCTGATAATGGATACCCCGTCAGACATTAAACCTTACCTGGATCATTTGATAGCCGAGCCCATAGTGTAAGTTCCCATACGTTTCTTGGTTCTTTAGCTTACTTAACACCTCTTATTGCTTGCACTATTCATTTTTCTTTTCTTGCTGCACAATGATCTGATGGATTTTGAACAATTGTTTACTCTGACTCTTACTAACCCTCCACACTATGGCCCAAGTGCCTATCCTTTACGCTTACTGTACTCATATGCGCCCCTGATTTGCATGTATGTGTGTAACAAAGACTTTTGTAATAGAGTTGAATAACTACTACAGACCATATTCAGACTGCAGGCTTTTGATTTATTTTTTAAGGGATGACTGATAAAAACCAACCAACTTGCAGCCATAGAATTTACAACCCAAATGCGCCAAAGTAATGGCTTTAATATGCAGAGGTTTCCATGGAACTGCTGTTCAATTACATTCATCTTGCCGCAGATGGTCTGTCTTATCACTCCTGCTTAGGAGTCAGCTAAGGGAGCATGCCTTTACTGCATATTAAGTATTGTCAAAGTAGAATATTGAGGTGGATTGATAATTTTAATCAGCTACTTCAGTTAAACCATCTGTAGTGATATAAAACATGGACGTTAGATAATCTAATGTAGCATATTTTCTCTGTCACACCCACTTTTTTTTGGAGGAAAGCAGTACTTCACATCTATACAGCTCAGTTGCTCATGGTGCTGTAAGTTAGGAAGTGTTTTAGTGCATTGGGGTGTTTTTAGGTAGCTGGTGACCAGTAAACAAAGGATGAGAAGTGAATGGCGCCTTATGTAGCTAATTCGATAGATATAAAATGCCTAGATTAGCCACTAATATGGCTATTATAGTCCCTAGCCAAAACTCCTCAGAGTGAGCATTTTTGGTCCTAGTTTCTTAACCCAGGAAATCTCTCCTATGTCAGCCAAAATTTAGGAGAGCTCCGGAAGAGTCATAACCTTTTTATTGATGGGGTTCAGGCTGAGATATTCCTTGAGAGGAGAGATGATTAAGGATTACTTGATGATCACGAGGCGATTGAAGATTAGTTATTTTTAGGGTTGACTTCGTGCAAGACCCAGAGGAGAACGCATGTTGTTTCTGCAGAAAACAATTACCTTACAGAAAACTTTTTGCAACTGGAAAAATGCAGCTGATTCTCAACTATTTGGGCAGGTGTTAAACTTATAATATGGGATTGATATCCATGTTGTCATCTCAAAGTGTGTTTCCCAAAATATGAATTCACTATTGTAAAACAAAACATCTGTGTGTAAAGCGTTTCTATAAAAATGAATACTTTCACAGTGGCATGGTCTTGAAGAAACAGATGTTATTGGGGAAATACACGCATTGGTTGTAAATTACATGAGGCAGGCGAAAAACTAGACAGAGACAACATCAAACTGGAACACAGCACGTAACAGCTCAGTGAAATGCTGCATACCTTCGCTGCAATTAATGTCGAAATACTGAAGCGTAATTATTCATGCTAGCCAAGTGTCAGTGCAGTTTGTTTAATCAAACTGGTAAATCAAGTAATGACTGGTGACTGCTTGTATCTACATGTTGAGAAGTCTTGCACATAGCTCCAAATGGTGTCTGTAGGAAGCAAACGGCAAAGAAGCAGTATTCATTTTGGCAGCTATTTGACATTTAGTCTTAGTTTTTAAATTAAAAATGCTTATTAATTTTAGGCACATTTTAGCCATTTGTATAGTTTTAGTCTAGTTTAGTCAATAACACCTCAAATCATTTTAAGCCAGTGTTAGATATAGATTGGTCATTACATTTTAGTTAAATTTTAGAAAGCCCAGTGGAGATAAATTAATAAATACACGCACAGTGCATACAAAACACTTTTTGCCTCTTTTTTTTTAAAAAGGCTAATAGGTGCAAAGATTAATTTTATGTCAGTTCAATAAAATGAACACTGCAAAGAAGTCAATAATTTGCCAACACTTAACTGTTATGAGCCTCACTCTTCTTGCTGTGTTCCAAGTACAAAATGAGCACATATTTTCGGCCATTTATTCTGCCCAACAGTTGTGGTGTCAGCATGAGCCACAGGTCCAGGTTTGACCAACACTGGTGCTTAGGCTACTTTGGAGCCAAGAAGTGGCGTTATGATGGTGTTGTTATCAAAGCATCATGCCACCGCACTGGGTTCATAATTAAGTTACACAAAGAATTACCGCTTGTGTGACCAAATTATGAACAGTGAGAGGATGTTAAAATGTAATGACTCTGCTGTGTCTCCACAGATTTGTAGTCTGCAGCGTTGCATGGTGAAGAATATTAAGTGTAGGTCTCAGGGAAGTGTTGCAAGATTGGATCCATTATCACATTAGTACATTTGGTCATGCTTGTCGAGGGATGTTTGTCTATCCCTTTCAGACAAATCAATATACATTTAGATAAAATTGAATATTTTATATTTCCACACACTGCAATTCAAAGTTGAGTTAACTCAAGACTGTGTCACAGTTTCATATTTTAGATTGTACATAAATTTGAGTTTATGGTTCTGCTGAATTGTAATGTGTTATACTGTCTGGTGTTTTCATTATTTTTTCCACCCCATTTATATCAATGAGGGTAGGCTAAAAAAAACGAACAAAAAAACGAAAAAGAAAATCAGGACTTATTGCAGGACTGTTGTATTAAAGGTCCATTGTGCAGGATTTAGTTGCATCTAGCGGGTGTAGTTGCTGATTGCATAGGCCTCACCTCACCCTCCCCAAGCGTACTTCCTGGATCCCCTATAGTAGGTGAAACTATAGTAGCTTCCAAACTCGAACGAAAATATAGAGCCAATGTTTGGTCTGTACCTTCTGGGCTACTGTAGAAACGTGGTGGACTCCATAGTAGAGTCCACACACCGTCACACAGTGATGACTGTGATTAGTTCTTGAATATGAATTGAAAGAAAATGAACAAAAGAGAGGACAGACTACAAAAAGACTACGAAAAGAAGCAGAGCTTAAGCACACCACTCACACAGGCAGGAGAAAAGAACAAACACACAGAGAGAGAGAGAGAGAGAGAGAGAGAGAGAGAGAGAGACAAGAGGTGAGGCTGAATCTCCTGGAGGACCAAGAGTTGGATCCAAACACGGGGACCGAGGTACAGACCGACCGAAGGTCCAGCACAGAGTAGCCTGAGTGCAAAATACAAGGAAGGGAAACCAGGGAGTTGGAGAGAGGCACACAGCTGCCCTTATGAGACACAGTATAGAAATGCAGTGGTTTTCAAAAAGTTGACAGTATTGTGGTCGACAGGACAAATATTGATTATAGTGCTAGGCTTAATAGATTCATTGAGACCAACCTCCCAAGTGCATAATGGTAACCTGTAGGATCTGAAGTAATCAGAAAACAAAGTGAAAGTTAGGGCAACAATCTGAGTTTTAAATTTGGATTTAAAGGCCCCAACAGAGTCAGACTGACACCAGCGGGAAGGTTATTCCAGAGGAAGGGGACACGATATGAAAAGGCCCTGGAGTTATTACCCTTAACTGGTGTTGGTGGTGACCCTCTTACCATTGCATGTTTTTAATTCTGCAGTTATTTTGTCACGGTTTCCTGCCTCTGAACTATAATTGTGTCTGAGTGGGAAGATAAGAGGTTGGGTGCCAAAGCTTCCCAGCTGGACCTGTATAGAAACCAGCACGAGCCTACTGCCAGCATATATCAGGAGCTCTCCAATCAAGTGTGATGCTGGGGTTTGGCCCACTTTTTGTTTTCTGTACATCACATACCAGTTGTTGAGTTTTTTTTCAAGGTTGTCTTTGGATAAACACTTGTCACAAGTACTACCTTGATTTGTTATTTACAATTTCTGTCAGAAAGAGATTCTTTTTGGTGTGAGCCAGTTTCTCCTATACAGGTAACCCTATGTTCCAAGCCTTGGAACAAGGCCCAAAACGAGATGTAATTAAAATCTAGGAATTTGGAATTTTCTTTCTAAATAATTCACTCAAAACTATTAATTGATTTATAGGTTGGGATTGATTTAATAGTGGACAACTAAATTATTTATCATTAATCTTGGCAGTTCTGTTTGCACTATGCTAACACCTGGTCTCCAAAGACAGAATTTTTCCCGCAAAATGCGTGACCAGCGAAGTACACAATCATCCTTTCTTAGCATGTTCCCTGCTATGATTAGATTTTGATAGTTAAAGCCTGTGTTTGGGGCAGAAAGCATTAGTAAATCTGACCTTGAGTCTTGTGTATAGGCTGGTTAGATTAGGCTGTGCTTGTCCGGCTGATGCACAATATTCAGTAGGCGGAACAGAGCGGCGGGGTAGCGAGGTATCCCACTGAGGAAGTTCATGGCTTCAGTGGCAACAAATTCTAATCATCAGTCAAATGCACGTTCAGCTATTCTCTTCAAAGCGCTGATGAAGACATCTGGGGATTGATGAGTCATTGGGAATATTCAGGGCTTCACTTGTACATAGTATTGAGAAATACATGTGATATGTATTGAAAGCTAATATACTCATCAAAAGGAAATCAGTAAATCAGTTGTTCCCGTCTTATACAGTGACCTTCAGCAGGTGGGGTTATGTGACTGTGTATTATAGAGCTACGATGCCTTCAGTACTGCTGATTTATTTATTTCTGACTGAATTTGCTGGTTTATCTAAAACAAATATACACCTGTATTATAGGAAAATATCTATTGATCTGAAATGTTTACCATACGACTTAAAAAGAGCTTAAAATCTTGAGTTGACAACACTATTTAAACTCACCTGAAGAGCCCATTTCCAGAGCTATGGAAGCTATGTCTTTTTTGCCATTGTTGGCCGTACAGTTCGGTTATTATTGCTCAATCTCGAGGGGGCGGAAGAGAAGAGAGAAGCTACTTAAGACGGGATGTAGAAGCAGGGGAGCCTTTTTTCAGGCGCAGCGACACTGGAAATGGGACAGTAGAGTGAAGTGATTTGGTGCGGCACATCCATGGGCACCGACTATACTGCACAGTAAACTGAAATAGGTTAAGATGTGTGACAATAAAGCATTATAGTATAGCACTGTAGTTCTGCAGAGATGCCCTGGTCTACAAATCTTGTTCTTCTGGTGTAAGAAACATGTTTTAACAGCACACAAGTTTCATCATCTTGATTTTAATAGTTTAGAATGATCATTCCCAATAATCATGATTCATACTGAAATCACTTTTTTTTTTTTTAAATACCATATGGTGGAGCCCTGGAGCCAGTACCCATCTAACCACCATTAGCATGGGGATTATACCTAGAAAATCATTTTTCACAAACCTCTTGCAGTTACTGAGTTCACTGTTTGGGTTCATTGTACAGTTTTGAATAAAATATGAAGTATCCATAAAATATGTCACATAGTGAGGGGATGTGATTGTGCTGAATGATAGAAAAGGGGTCCCCGAAGGAAAAACCACTGTCACTGGGAACCACTGTTATAAGCTGGTGACTGTACACCACTCTGTGACATCAATGTTCAAGTGTGTTTCTGTAGTCCAATTAGACCAACAAAGTGAAGAGTCTTCTTGACTGAAACCATCAGCTGATCCAGTCACGTCAGTTTAAGGAGCCAGTTTCTCTTAGCTAAACCAATTCAATATTCTTCGGTGACAAGTTCTGACTCAGGACCAGCTAAGGTGTTCAGAGTCAGAAGGCTGCAGCTCTTAATGAACATTTAATATCATCTACTCCCCATGTTAGAAGTTGTCATAGTTACAGGCTGTCAACATTAATTAGGCGATCACTAAAAACTGCACTTTTGTCAAAATGTAATTAGAGATCTACATGAAACCCTCAAGCTTTAGTCATTCAAAATGTAAGTTACTTGCAAATGCTGACAGCTGAAAGTAATTAGATTTATAAAGGAATCGAAAGAACTCTGATTTTAGGAGCAGATTATAGGCTTATTTAAGAGTCAGTATGTTTGCCAGTGTTACAGAGCTAATTCACTCCTCTGTCAGAGTTTGCCCTGTGTAGCTGTGAGCTCACATTCATTCCAATGTTTGGAGAGATTATGTGCATGTGTGACAGCCACGTCTGCCATAATTCAGTCCGTACACCCCAGCTGTGAAGTGCTCAGTAATAGTTTTATTCCATCTGGAATAAAGTTAGCTCACAATGATTTCCCTGCGTTAATCTTCCAACTAACCTCTATCTGAGCAGCAGGGCAGCATGGAGGCTGAGCTGCTGCACCTAGTTACAGGCGAGGATGATTAGTAAGGAATTTGTATGCACGGCGGGGACTGGGGGCTTTCCATCAAGGCCACAAGACAGAGCTGATCATCATGGACGCAACTCATGTACGTGTCTGACCACGTTTCCACTCATCAGCTTTTCTACACATTTTCACTTTTAGACTCAAAACATCTGAATAGGAACTAGGGGACAATTGAGCATTTTGAGATTTTAAGCATTGGTCCATGTCTGTGTTCTCGAGGCCTGATGTGATGTGCGTTGTTGTTTGAAATACTCATCATATACAGTCTCTGGAATTGGGGTGGCAGTAGCTCAGTCCGTAGGGACTTGGCTTGGAAACCAAGGTGTCGCTGGTTCAAGTCCGGCACGAACCACAGTATGGAGTGTGGACCAGTTCCACCTCCTGGGCACTGCTGAGGTTCCCTTGAGTAAAGCACCGATCCGCTCCCAGAACCCCACTAGTGGCAGCCCATCACTCCACCATCTCTCCACATTTGCATGTCTATAAGCCCTGTGTGTGCATGATTTATATTTTGGCCCTACGTGTATAAAAAAAAAAGTGTCAAAAAGAATTTCCCCCTTTGGGGATTAATAAAGGTAATCTTGTTAATCTTCTTATCTTCTTCTAGAAGTGTATGATTCAACGTTTTCCCATTGTTTAGTTACAAGAAAACAAACAAACATTTTTATAAGAATCTCAGTACATATCGAACCGCCACCCCAGGTATTGTGATCATGTTGAATCAGAGATAAGCATATGGTCCCAGCACTAGATAACAAGTGTTGTGTTGTAGTTTAGAGTAGTAATCTCTTTGTCTCTGTCTTCTCCATAGTATTGACAAGGTGTCCAAGGTGGCGTCCCCAGTGCTGGTGATCCACGGAACGGAGGACGAGGTGATCGACTTCTCCCACGGCCTGGCCATGTACGAGCGCTGCCCCCGTGCCGTCGAGCCCCTGTGGGTGGAGGGAGCCGGCCACAACGACATCGAACTGTACGCTCAGTACCTGGAGAGACTCAAGCAGTTCATCTCCTTCGAGCTCCCCACCTCCTGAGGGGAGCTCAGCACTCAGGCCGGGGTTCATCTCAACACACTCAAGAAGCCTCCCCCTTATCATCTCCCAACTTCCTCTCTTAGCATAGGGGCAGGACTGGTGTCAACTGATCACGCTGATCCCCCTCCCCCCCGTCCTTGGAGCCATTTCAGGGTGGGAATGTGTAGTGGACTGGAAGAGAGGAGGTGGTTTTAGAATGTTGAGGTGCAGCCGAGGGTAAGGCCAGTACCAGCCAGGTGTAAAGCCCAGGCTTAACATGTCCCCAGAACCTGGCTGGTGCTCTTACACATGGACACGGTTTGCCAACGAACCCGGGCCTAGACGGTGTTTGCACTCATTTCCCACTCCAGCTCTCAGCCTCCTTCCCCTCCTCCACTCACTCTGTCTCTTGCACCTTTTCTGTGTTAGTGTCTCCCACTGTGAGCTTCAGTCCGTCACATTTCCTCATTCTCCCTCTGTTTCTCCCACGATCCCTTGTTTTCCTTTTGACTGAGAGTCTGCAATGTTCAAGCTTGATTTTTGTATTCTTTTATACAAGGTGATGAAGTATCAATTTTGCACCACTAGATGAAATCGAAGTTTTTTACTTTTTCTGTATTTTTAAGTTACCATTCAGGGTTGATTAAACAATTGCACTTTTAATGTGCAGATATTTTCAGGTAATGATTTTTTCCATGTTTGGATATGTGTAGTTGATTTTTTTGTTATCAGCATTCCATGTTTTTTCTTAATTGCTTTTTTTTTTTTCAATGTGTGTACTTAAAAGCTGTTAACCAGAGTGCAACCCTGCACATCTGGCCTTTTGTAGCTGTGATCTTTGTAGTCCCGATGCACGATGCTCCCTCACACACAGGGAGCGCCAAACTCCATTTAGAACTCTAGCAATTTACCAAACGCCTTGCTCTGGCGAACACGCGTACAATTCTCGTTTAGTGTTTGATTACTTTTGAGCCACTGCTAAATTGTGGATGCAAACAGCGCCTTCAGTGCTTCGATAATATCAACATTCAGAATAGGGTCACAACAATTGTACAAAATGATACGAAATGAATGGAAGGCTGCGGTAAAGAGCAGTGTTAACCTAAAGTGTTCATTGAATTGTGATTGGTGGATCATCTATATGCACAATTGAATGCTAAATTTACCAGATGCCTAAATGATTTGTAAAATAGCTCAATGGGTCAGTAAGTGAACTACTCACCAACATAGGCTCAAATAGAATCAAACACATCCTGACACCCCAGGTGAAGCCACTGTTGAAAAAGTAATATTGCTCCCTAACCCACATCCTTATTTGGATTGTCATTTAGGCTACGTTCACACTGCAAGCCCACCTACCCGAAATGAACCTGAGACACTTCATCATAGACCCTGCTTCATTAAAAAGGATGGCCTATATTAGGCATACCAGTTAATCCTATGACTTTTGGGAGCAAGTGCTGTCCCTGTATTGTCAAGAAAAACTCCTGGTTTCTTAAAAGGAATGGGAACAGGTCTAGAACACATAAATCTAGAGTAACAAAGAAGTCACATGAAATCTGAAAAATAATCAGACCTTGATATGGTCTGCTATATTTGGACAGTGGCTCAAATCAGAACTGAATTGTCATTTGTAATGTAGTCTTATGAAAAAAAACAGATCTGAGTCACACGAGTAAAATAACTCGGATTTGTGCCTGCAGTGTGAACATAATCTTGTGTATGCATCAAATTCCTCCCTCCTTGTATCTGTAAAGTCACACCAGGCTGGGAAATTTGCCAAAAAGCAACCAGTATTCCAACTAGTAATACAGTAGCTTACCTCAATAGAGAGAGCAGCAGGCATCGGGACTGTGCTTCTGTTAACTGGAGATCATGCGGTAAGACTTGACTGCTGCTGCAAACAGAAGCAAACTTGACTCAGTACTGTAAAGTGAAGCCTGGGAGCATGGTGCTGGGTTCACCTGCAGACAGAAGTACTTGGAACTCGGCTCCGTTTGAAGGTGTCCGAGGTGGGCATGCTGTCGACGGGGTCTGGGCTCGTACTCCATTTTACCAGTCACTTACACTACAGGTAAAAAGCCTTACATTCGTGGACGTTTCACCCAGTCCCGTCGACTACAGCGGGGCTCTCGTAGTCTTCGGGGGGGCTGATAACTGCTGCTATTCATCAGAGGAATCAATCAGTCAATCACTGTGACAGCCAGACATTTCGGGGAAACGCGGCAAAACCAAATTCACCCTGACCACTGTCAGCCATGTTGTTCCTGCCCGCAGCAGGAGAGGAACCTTTTGCCAACACTTGTTGTCTACTGAGCCCCGTGACAGTTTGCTCTCATCCCAGCTCGAACTCCAAAGACACCCGAAGGAACCTCAAAGGGGAAGCGGAATGCTGTGGAAGGAAGCGACGCATGCAAATCACCTCATAGTTGTGGACATTTCAACTTGTATCTGAATCGTTTGTTCTTTCTCTCCCCTGCAAATGAATGAAAAAGTAAAAAAGTAAAGTAAAACAAGTAAAGTAAGACACTAAGTCAAACACTTAAAGCTAAACAGTCACACAAAAAAGAAGTACAACACTATCACACTGAGTGCTGAAAACATTTTCAGAGGATTGCGGTCGAGGGATATTTGCATAGCAACTTGTGGTGGTCGTTGGATTAATCCGTGTATTGCTGTGAAGTGCTCTGTCAGTTGGGTATTAGTGTTTTCTGATTCTAGCTAATGTTGGGCCGACGTTTTTGGATAACGAGCCCTCGATCATCTCTAGTATATTTCCTCTAGTTCCTCTTTTTGAAGGAAATGAAGATCCTGCTCTAGTCCTGATTATCGTTTTGATACTGACATTTTTACGAGGTTTTCCAGTCTAAATGTTGATAGATTTACACTGTCTCTGAAGCTGGTTTGTACGATAATCCTCTGTAATAGTATACTTCAATATCTTCTCTATACATATTAGCCCTCACGTGGGGCGGTCTAGTCTCATTGATTTTAACACTGGAATCACAATATGCAAATGAAAGGCAGATGAAGCTTGTAGAATCCGATTTCGGTAATAGCTTGTAAAAGTGATGAAAAAGCCTTAAACATGCCGTGAAACAGATTGTCATAAATGTGGTTGTTGTTGCAAGAAAGCAGCACAATGGATGTTTTAATGCTTATAATGGAATAAAGAATGCATGGAAGTGTGTCTGACTGTATTGTTTCTCTGGTAGAGAGCTTAAAGGTCTGTATTGTTATGTCACTCTTACTAGGCTACTAGGCCTGTTCACCCAAAATACTATTTTATGTATCCATGCAGTCAATTTGGGTTTTTTCGGTACAGTTTTTAGATATTGGTCTCTAAGATTTCTGCCTACCTATCTGGAGAGCTAGATACCATTATACTGCCATAGCAAACCACAGTAACTACAGTTTTGGTCAAACTTGACTGAAACTGAACTTCTAAATGTCTTTTTTTATCTATTTTCTGAGTTCAGTCTTGCTCCGTCTTAGAGAAAATGGAAAAATCGCCCCACTGTTCTGAAAACAAAACAGCAATTTTTTTGTGTTTGTTTTAGTAGTTGAACACTGAAGTGGCCCTCCTATGAGATTACAATACCAGCAGTGGCCCAAAGATGACGTGGGTTTGAGACCCCTGCTTTAAGGGTAGACTGGATACAAAATTTTACTTTTGGGAATTTTGGATATCTCTTTTTTTAGGAATAAAAGGTTCTTTAAATCATACTGTGAATGTTATCTGAACAAATCCCTCTGTAAAAACCTTCATAATATAAATAAGAATAAAACTGGAAGCTTTGGTGTATGTAAATGCTGCTGAAGTGGAGATGTCTGGCTCAGAGTTTGAGAAACACAAATTCATAAATATATATATATAGTAAAATTCATACATTTTGCAACTGGGGAATAGGGTGAAAAAAAAAAGGAAAAACTAATATCACCATGAAACTTCCCCAATTGATTACTTATATTAAGACAACAGATTTTTTTTTTAATGTTATGTTTAAATATGCAAATTAGGCTAAAACTAATGCTAACTTTAATAGAAATCTAGACACAAACAGACAAAGTGCAGTAAAATAATAAAAATGTGGATTTTAGGTATTTTCTTTCTTCTAGTCTGAAAGAAGAAAAAGCATAATCTCAGAGGTGCATGAAAAGGCAATGTTTTTGCCTGTGGTGTCTCGCCTAAAAGAATAGCGGCCTGTTTCCAACATGTCATCAGTGGTTTCCACCTCGAGCATCTGTGTCTGTTTTTGTGAAAGTCAGTGAGAACATTAAGTTTTAATGTACTCTGTGCTGGTTATAATACTTGTGTTGTCATTGGTTAGGAAAAAAATCACTTTCTCTAAAACCAGCACTGTTGAAATATAAAGATCAAAAAGAAAGTAGTTGTAATTCAGTTTATTCCCTAACTTGACAGCTTTTTTGCCTTCACTGTTAAGAGAGCTGGATATTGTTTGAATTCTGTTTAAATCAAGGGCATTGTGGGCGTTTCCTTACCAATAACAGACAAAGAATACTTACCTTCAACAAAATCCTTTTTTTTAAATTAAAAAACCTAATATTCAAAATGTTAAATGTTGTCTAAACACAAGCCACTGTACAAGAAGAATAAGTAAACAAGAACCAGAATCTGTCCAAGCTGGCATTAATGTCTGGACTGTACCAACATATAAAAGCAATATTACCTTTGATTTAGTTAAGCTTAAAGCCTTTGTTCCCTTTAATTGTAACCTTTGAAAAATGTATTACTGTGAATTAGAGATCTATTAAATAAGCCGTAAAGGGCAGTAGGAGAAATATGAAATGACTAATCTGTGCTAAGTTGGTTTTTTTTTAATGGGGAAAACAAACCCTCAGGCAAAATAAATTGACATTTTGTTGAAAGTGTAAAACAGGAAAAGATCTGGATTATATTCAGAGGTAATTAGAAACTTGTGCACCAATGATTCTAAGCACCAAGTTGTAGCAAGAACTGATACTGAAATTTCCTTCCAGCTCACTGTTGATTTCTGAGGTTGCTCTCACACCGGTAAATGAACTCAATCATTTATTGTGGGCCGAGAAAAAATGATACATTGTTACCTTTCTGTTCTGGTGTGATTCACGATGGCGAACCGAGAGCTGTAACCATGAGATTACACAGACTGACAGGTAAGTGATTGTTGAATTTATTTGCAGTTTTGGTGCTACATGCGAGTAATTTAAATTCTAATAACGCTACACTTTAATGCTTCTTTAATGTTTATTTATTATCTCTGGTGTTACCAAATAATGTGCATAAATACATAACCTATACAGATAACTTAAAGGTCGAGTGTGTAACATTGAGGAGGATCTATTGTCAGAAATGGAATATAATATATACATTGGTATGTTTTCATTAGTGTATAATCACCTGAAAATAAGAATCATTGTGTTTTTGTTACCTTAGAAGTAACTGTTTTTATCTACAGAGGGAGTCCATCATGTTGAACCGCCATGTTTCTACAGTAGCCCTGAACGGACAAACAAAACGCTGGCTCTAGATAGGGGCATTCTTGTTTTTCACGTGTTTCGCAGCCACCATAGTTTCTCCTTCACGCTTTGACAGGGAGTGTGAAGCGAGTGAGTTGCAATATGCGACAACACCGCTCGATGCCACTAAATCCTACACACTGGTCCTTTAAGATCCTTTCCTGACCATTTCACAATAAGCAGATAGATTTAATAGTAGTTAAACATTTTAAATCATGCTAAAATCGTGTATATATCATCAATAAATCCTGTAGTTGGTCTGTCACAAATGAACCACACCAGAGTTCATTTGGAAGCAGACCGAGACCCTGTTTCACAATTACAGTTAATGAGAGCCTGTGCTGGAGGAAGTTTTAAGTTCTACTCCAGCTGACGGACTGGAAAGCGGACTCTCTTCTGAGCAGTTAGATCTGTTGTTGTACTGTCTGTTATACTGTCCGTTATGCATGATATTCTTATGAAAAAGCAGAAAGAACTTGAACCAGCCGAGCAGACTGTAGGACTTAAAGGACCACTGTATAGGATTTGGTGCCATTTAGCGGTGTAGTTGCAGATTACGACCCCCTGGCTTACCCTTCAGATGCAAGTGTGTAGGAGAAACTACAGTGGCTGCGAAACACGCAAAAAACATGAATGCCCCTATCTAGAGCCAGTGTTTGGTTTGTCTGTTCTGGGCTACTGTAGAAACATGGAGGACTCTGTGGAAGAGGACCCACTCCCTCTGTGGATGAAAATGGCTCTAATGGTTTTCTTCAGCTGATTACACACTAATGAAAACATACCTATGAATATTATATTTCTGACAATGGATCCTCAACTGACACATGCTGGAGATGTCAGCATTCCACCCTTATGGCCATTCTAAAAAGCTATTGCAGCTGGGTTAATCTGCAAGACCTCCCTGGACAGTCCAACCCACGCAGGAAGAGGTATACACGCTGTCATAGACGAGCAGTTTGTCCTGCACCTGACGTCTGAAGATCTCGTCAGAGTATGGAAATTCATGTCCAATCAACAGCAATCAGCTGATCCTGATCTAGCATTAGCTGGAGACCTGGCACAGTCTGTTATTACTGCCACCACCAAAAAATGCAGAGAATGCAGAGAGGGCCTCTGGAAATAAGTTTTTCAGTTGAAGCCAGAGAGGTGCTGACAGGTGTGGCAGCCCAACAAAACGCTTTTCTTTTATAAAAAACAAAAAACATTTAGTACTGCCAGTGGGAAAATATTACAGCATCAGTGATGATAAGTTGGCTTCAGAGTTGGACCAGGTCCACTGGCTACTGAAAATAACAGCAGGAAAAGCATTCTGGAGGTTGTTTCACTTTCTTTTCATTCATGACGCATTTATGGATCTGTTTAAGCTGATATATACACCCATCAGTCATAACATTGTGACCACTGACAGGTGAAGTGAAAAACACTCATTATCTGGTTAACATGGTAACGCTTGTGTGCACTACTGTTTTTTACTCTATAAGGTCATCTTTATTCCTCGTGATACACTGTGGCAGCGCAACACCAGGAAGCTATCTGGCCTTTCTGGATGCTGTGTTGCAGCCTACCTATCATAGTAATACTTTTTGAGATGTGATAGAGATGTAGTATTTGTGTTATGTGATGTTTGTAGCTGGTCTATTGATTTTAAGGTCTGATGCAGTGTTTTGACTCAGTAGGTTTCTATCACTGTATATACTCTATATACATATTGTATTGATATTTATTGCAACTTCCCAACATATTGTATGAACGTAAATATGACGTAACATCCCGCCACCCACCGTCATCACGTTGATGACGTGCTGAGAGCGGGAGCTCAACGTACACGTCCCAAACAGATAAGATCACAACAATAGCATGTCTTCATAAACCAGCCTTGTTCGTCTTCATACAATATGTTGGGAAGTTGCAGTAAATATCAATACAATATGTTCTATATCCCTTTGTGTTGTGTCTCTCCTTCGTCTGTTAAGATAACTGAACATGTTGTGAGTCTCGAGGCATTGTCAGCCTTTATATCTCATTTGTAAATGCTTAATAAGCCATAGATAGTGCTCACTTTAGATGAGCTCGTGCAAAATACTTAATTAATGAGTAGTAAGTGCTTTGTAACTGTGGATTCCTGCATTAATAACTGTTTATAGGCCATCATTAGAAAATGAATTTGTTGTGAGTTTTTATAGAACATCTGCTAACAGTCACTAATCATTAATACATGTCTGAATAGTGGATGTGCAAGTGCATGCAGAAATGTACAGTACAATGAAGAGTAAAACATTTATAACTGTGATTATAAACCACATAGTAATGACTATTTACAGCAGAATCATGCTTTATAAATGATCAATTCAGTATTTACTAATCCATAACTAATGTGCTTATCAATGATGAATAAAACATTTTTAACTGTGTTTATAAACTACATACTAATGTGTATTCATGCGTTATAAATGATGAATTCATTATTTATTCATGCTTAACTAATGCTTAATAGTTTGTACTCATTATAAAGTGTTACCGAAAAGACTTTTGAAGATGGTTAGAACATAAAAAACATATAGTCACACCTTAAGTTAGCTAATAATAGTAAACTCTAGCTAACTAGCAAGATAGAATTTAATATGACCACTCTAACCCAAGCTCTGACTCATCTTCAATCTCTTTGATCCT